CGCGAGTCACGGGCCCGGGCGGCGGATCTGCCTCGCGCTGCGGGGCTCCAAGCCCCCGAGCGCCAGCTTCAACCCCTGTGCACCCTGGCGCAGTCTGTGCTGTTTCCCTGTGAGAGGGGAGCTAAAAAGTAGCAACTTGCCCTCTAAATTTAAGGCCTTGTTTTTAGGGCCGTTAAATAGTGTAGGAAATAATTTTAGGTGACACAGGTGTAAGAGATAACCCATCTCTACATCTTCCTTACTGGCATAATCATTCTCAATAAATTTTTACCTTCTAACTCCCAAGTGTTCAGTGAAACAGCTCAAAAAGGAAAATAAGCTTCTCCCTGAACCAATCACCCAAGAGAACTTGATGTATGAACAAAATCCTGAATCCTTGGGAAATTTCCCGAAGTAAGCCCTGGTAGCAGCAACACAATCTCTATGATATTAAAAAAAAAAATCAAAAATACCCAAGTTCACAGAGAAGACTTCAGGAAAACGTGGCCTAGTTTTGCAGAACTCAAACTACCCGCTGTCATCTTTGCCACATCACCCTAAGGAGTTTCAGGAACTGCCAAGATCAGAGATTAGTTAATAATTCCCCCTTTTTAAGGCAATATACACCTTCATACGTGTCAAACAGTGTGCCCTGAAATTAGATTATGTGAATAGCTTATTAAAGTCAGAACACAAGCATAATTAAGATTTTATCTTTAGAATTTCAAAGACTTTAAAACCAATATATGCCTCAATAAAATATATTACTCAATTAAAAAATTTTTAAGAGTCTGAACATTTTCAGAGGACTCCAGAACGTAAAAAAACAATTCCTTTGCCCTTCCTAAGTTAGTCTGTGCCTCTTTCCAGTTTTCAATAACTATTTCAAATAGTAAAAAACAGATCAGAACAGAAAGAACTCATGAAGTTTAGGAAGAATACAAATTTAAGTTGCTGCATAGGAAGAACAGTAAAGTTTACCAAACTCAGTGCAAAATTCCAAACCTAATGTCTTCATATGTGACACTGAATAGTCATAGCTCACCTCTTCCTCCAGTGCTTTCCATTCCATTTCTTAAGACGCTCATGTTAAGATACTGAGAGACATACGTGAAGTTCCGCTAAGCACCTCATACCCTTGAGAAACATTTCAGACTGTAGCATATCCTGCACTCTTCTGTCTCCACACCACTGCAATCCTGTTTTGACACTTGTGTGGTAAAGGGGTGCTACAGGTGGAGTCGTGACTACCAACCTGTGATCCAAATTCATGGACCTCACGCCTTATTAAATAAATAGACACACATGTGCATCTATGTTTCCTCAAATATCATACATATCACTATCCGCTTAAAATCTACAATTAGAAAGAAAAATCCTAAACTTGCTAACTGATTAAAAAAACTAAACTGAATGTTCTATTTTATAGTCTATTCATATAAAGTACATGATTTCTACTATGCAAAAGGTATTTAGATTGTTCCCTGAAGTAGACATTGGAGTTTGCTCTCTTATATAGGAACTGCCTTAAAAGAAATGGCCAACAAAAGCTATCAGTGTTTATAAAGCTAAAAGAAAACATCCAAGAACATTAGAAACATGCTAACCAGGTAACTGTGTCCACAACCTACAAACGGACTTCCCTGTGAAAGGCCCTATGGCAAAGCTGTAAGTACAAGCGACTCCTGCTTCATTAAACAGCAGTGTCATAGGCCATTAGATCTACTCCTTTAAAAGAAAATCAAACAAAACTGTTAAGCCACGTTTTCATTCTCTGTATTAGTGATGTAAGAGTTATTTTCATAACACACTAAATCAGGAGCTACCTGTTGAACAAGAACTAGATAATTTCCATTGTTGATTCCAGCAGTAAATGAAGCATTCTACATAAGAGTATAAAAATGTTAGAACAGGTTCCTCAATTGTAAAATAAAGTAGATGAAAAGTAGTTGACTGGTATTATTTGAACAATACAACTAAACTATGTTCTGTACAAAATTGCCAGTAAATTGAAATTACCAGTACACCAAAACAATTACCTGAAACATTTAGGCAAGAAGAAAAATAAAATAGCCTGGTGTGCTGGTGCTGGTCTATAATCCCAGCAATTGAAAGCAGAGGCAGAAGGATCACAGAGAGTTTGAGGCCAACCTGAACTACATAGCAAGGCCCTGTCCCAAAAGAACTTTCTGAAGCCATTCACGTCTATATTGTAGGTACTTAAGAGATGCACTTGGATTATTCAAATTATAGATGTGTTAGGAACTCTTCAGAACATTTACTCTAAAGATTTTGGACTTAAAGCCCTAGAGAGGCCAAGCAGTTGAAATAAATGTAGGGAATTGAAAAGTACATATCTACCATTCACCTAATCAAGCACTATTCGCCTTGAGCTTCTTGTTGCCATATAAGAATGGGAGACTTGGTGGCCTGCCTTGCAAGTGCAAGGAACTGAGTTCGATCCCTGGTACCAAAAAAAAAAAGAATGGGAGACTTTAGATATATTATAGTCTTCTACTTTTTCAAGAGAATCCAGAAATTTAGACTTTTAAATGGTTTTTAATGGCCCTGTGTTGAATACCCAGGATCAAAAAAGAAAGAGAGGAAAAAAAAAAAGGTTTGCATGCTATAAATCTGTGCCAGTTTTACCCCGGTGCTGGAAGTTGAAACCCATGCCCCTGTGCATGCTAGAAAAGCATTCTACCACTGAACTATCCCTCTAGAAACCCTTTTGTAAATTTTATTTTGAGACGGGACTTGCAACAAAACTATTCTTTGTTCAATCTCTGTATACTCATCAGCCTCCTTCTATGTTCACTGACTGAAGTACTTACACTTCTCCCAACTTGCCATTTCCTCTCCCACTTCTGTACTTTCAAAACTGCTCTCTCCTTAACTTAGCGCACCCATCCTCTCCCATCCTCTCCCATCCTCTCCCTCTCTTGGCTAACTCTACTTTTCCTTCAAGCTCAGCTCAAATGTGATCTCCAGAAACTCTCTAGACAACTCATCCCCACTCTCTCTACCTACCACTTCAGTCCATCTGCCAGGAAGCTCCTCCTGAATCAGTAGCATCCTATGGCTATTACAGCACTGTGTTATAACTGTCACTTTTCTTAATGTGTCTTCCGCTGGGAGTGGTGGTGCACACCTGTAATCCCAGCACTCAGAAGATGAGGCAGCAAGATCAAAAAACCAAGCCCAGCTTGGGCAAAATTAGCAAGACCCTGTCTTGAAATATGAAATAAAAATAAGGGCTGAGGATGCAGCTCAGTGCAAAGGCCTTGAGTGAAATCCCTAGTACTGCCCCCGACAAAGTGAGAAGATAAAAATACTTCTTCAGTTATTTTTATGGTAGCAGTAGATAAGAAAAGAACCAAAATTTGCAAAAGTTCTCCTGTGTGCTAAGTATGACAGCTGGGTCCTTTTGTAATGGTATATCTCAGTAAGTTTTATAATAAATGAAACTGGGGAGTAATGGGATTGAAAGTGATCAAAATATGTTATATGCATGAATTAATTTCTCAAAACAAAACTCGCTATTCTGTATTATGAATACACACTAATAAAAATGTTATTCAAATATGTAATAGGTTAAAGGAGTGAATAAGTACTTTAGAAATTGCAAAAAAATGAAAAAGTGAACAGAATTGGAAATTTTAGTTACAGCTTAGATGAATTTTGAAATACTAGTTGTTTTTGTACTCTCATGCTGCACCACTTTGAGGTAATAGCTATCATTTGGATACTAATATTTTGCTTTGGGCTCTTTAGTTCATATTACTCCTAAATTAATTCATTTAGTACAGTTTTCCCCAATTTAAAAAAAAAGATTACTCAAGATCAGCAGATTTTTTAAAAAGAAAGAAGTTTTAAAATCTTAACATCCATGTAACAGGCCCGGGGATTTAGCTCACTGGTACCATGCCTGCCTCACAAGTGCAAGGCCTGAGTTTGATCTCCAGTACAGAAAAAAAGTAATCCATGTAACAAAACATTAATGTGCAATATTACATGAAAATTCCACAGAAAAAAATTATGAGAAGTATATAGGGAAGAGTTGTTCAAACATATTTTTAAACTACCCCAACATTTAATAAAATTGATATTTTTAAAGTATTGCAAAAAGTACAGTTATGTTGAAATATAGTTGTGAAAAGCAATATATATGAAAGATTTAAAAGAGCAACTTACCCATCCTGAAAGAAGTACAACTGGCGAAAATATAGAAGTCATGACATCACAAATATCAATTTGAAATAAATATTTCAGGATCTGAAACCTAGAAGCATCTTCTGTTGATTTATAAATAAAAATGTATTAACATTTGATATATAACTTCTGAATCTAATCTCTTCCTTAACTGATGAAGCAGAGAACAACTTGTTTCTTACCTTTGTGAGAAGACAAAGCATCATCAGATGAAACCATCTGATTGTCTGGAAGGGAGTTTCCCACAGATCTGTCTATTTCTACCTGAGCGGGCTCCTCAGAGTCTACTGGGAATTTTGATTTTTTGTCATTATTTTTGGAAGAGAAGGTTTTGAAAGATACTTCTTCATGATTTTTCATGGATAATTCTGTTGTAGAGACTATACCTGCAAATAAATAGAGAAATATCTTTTCAAAAATACTCACTGTACTGTGAGCTTACCTTTTATTATCTAAGACGTCATTCTTAGAAAACCTAAACGATCACTAAGACACTTACTCTCAGATGTACTAAAGCTAAATTGTAACCTGTATCATTTCCTACTGCTGGTATAATAAATCACCACAAACTTAGTAGCTTTAATAGTAGATTTATTCTCATGTACTTCCAAAGGTCAAAAGTGCCAAAACCAACTACCTGCCTTCCAGATGCTTTAGGGGGAGAAGATTTTCTTGCCTCTATGTTCTAGCAGCCTCCTGCATTACCAATTTCAAAATTAGTAACATGGCATCTTCTAATTCCTTTCTGACCTTCCTGCTATCTTTTTATATGCAACCTTGGGACTATACTGGGACAGTATACAAGGACAGTCTCTCCATGTCAGGATCCTTCATTGAAAACTTTTGGTTTGGTTTGGTTTGGTTTTTGCCACCCACAAAGTCTGGAAGCTAAGTCATGGACATTTTGACCAGGCTTTATTCAGCCTTCCATGTACCATTTCCTTTATTTTTAGACCAAGGAAAAACTATAAAAACAGTATTTAATTCTATTCTCCATATTGCCTTTTGTTCTAAAAATCTATGTTTAAAAAACCAAAACCTGTCAACTGTATTGTGCTGTATAAGCTAATGACTAAGGATGAGAAAGTAAAGAGGTCCCCTGAAGATTTTCTTCCATTAAAAAAAAAGACAAAAAGCAAGAAAAACAAAAATAACAACAGCAAAGAAAGATTTCCCTTCATTTAGTCTCAGTGAATTAGTGAGTTATGCAAAAACTTCAGAAAAGATCTAAAACCATATCCCTCAAATACTTTAATAAAATTCAAAGGGAAGAAAAGACATCCCTGAGCCAGGCGTGGTGGTGCCTGCCTGTAATCCCAGCACCATGTAGGCTGAGGCAGGAGAATTAAGAGAAGTTCAAGGCTAGCATGGGCTACAGCACTGAGTTTGAGACCAGCCGGAACTACAAAGTGAGACCCTATCTCAAAAAACAAAACAAAAAAAGAAAGAAAAATGAAAAGTCATTCTTGGAAGCTAGCTTTATCCTGATTCCAAGACCAGACAAGGGTCCAACCAAAAAAGAGAACAACAGGCCAATTTTTTTAAGAAACGTGCATGCAAAAATCCTTAACAAATATTCTGGCAAACAGAATGCAACAACTCATCAAAAAAATCATACATCATGACCAAGCAGGATTCATCCCAGGAATGTGAGGATAGTTTGACATTGGCAAATCATTAAATGTAATATATCACATAAACAACAGCAAGGACAAAAATCATGATTATCTCAATAGATGCAGAAAAAGCCTTTGACAAAATCTAATATGCATTCATGATTTTTTTAAAAAACCTGAAGAAAATAGGTATAAACAGTATTTATCTCAATCTGATTAAAGCAATTTATGACAAACCTTCTGCCATCATATTAAATGAGGAAGTGCTGAACATTTTTCCTCTAAAAGCAGGAACAAGTCAAGGATGTCCATTATCACCACTCTTGTTCAACATAGTACTCAGAAAATAAGCCTGAACAATCAAGAAAGACAAATAAAAGGGATATGTACAGGAAATTAAGAAGTAAAATTATTTTTATTTGCAGAGGACATGATCCTTTACACAGAAGGTCCAAAATTTCCATGAAAAGACTCTATTAATAACCAAATTCAAGGGCTGGGAATATGTGGTTGTACCTCCTGCCTCACAAGTACAAAGTCCAGAGTTCAATCTCCAGTAAAAAACACACGCGCACACACACACACACAAATAGTGTAAACCAATAATGACCCACCGAGAAAGTAAACAGGAAAACAATACCATGTACAATAGCATCATGAAAAATAATAAACTTAGAAATTTACCTCACCAAGGAAGTGAAAGAACTTTACAATGAAAACTAGAGTACACTGAAAAAGGAGCTTGAACAAGATAGCAGAAAATGGAAAGATATCCCTGTTCCTGAATAGGCAGATCTAATAGCGTCAAAATGGCTGTTCTTCCAAAATTGATATATAGATTTAATGCAATCCCGATAAAAAATACCAATAACATTCCTCATAGAACTAGAGAAAATAATCCTAAAATTCACATGGAACCAGAAGAGACTCAGAAGAGCAAATGTAATCCTGGATAACAGGAGCAACGAGGAGATATCACAATGCCAGATACCAAGTTATGTTACAAAGTGACCTATCAAAAGGTAAAACATCACGGTAATGGCACAAAAACAGATATATGGATCAATGAAACAGAAGAGAGGATACAGAAACAACTCCAGGCACATTCAGTTATCTTTCACAAAATCTTTCACAAAAGGGCCAAAAACATACATCAGAGGAAAGATAGACTCTTAATAAATGGTACTAGGAAAACTGGTTGTCCATATGAAAAAAATTGACTCCAGACCCATATATCTCACCAACTACTAAACCAGAATCAACATGTATCCTGCCGGGCGTGGTGGTACACACCTATAATCCCAGCACTCAGGAGACTGAGGCAGGAGGATCGCTGTGAGTTTGAGACCAGCCTGGGCTACACAGTGAGTTCCAGATCAGTCTCAACTACATAGTGAGACCCTGCCTCAAAAACAAAACAAACACAAACAAACAAACAAAAAAAGCGAACAAACATGGACCAAAGATCTAAGTGTTAAATGAGAAACACTTTGGGGCCAGGTGTGCAGCTCAGTGGCCCTGCACTAGGGCCAGGTCCTGAATTCCAGCCTCAATACCCAAAACAAAACAACAAACAAAAACAAAGGAGAAACAATTTTCTGGAAGAAAATATAGGTAAAACTTTCAAAGTCATAGGCATAAGCAAGGTCTTTCTAAACAGAACCCCAACTGCATAAGAAATAACATCAAAAGGGCTGGGGATTTAGCTCAGTGATGCTGCATCTACCTTGCAAGTACAAAGTCCTAAGTTTGATCTCCGGTACCAAAAAAAAAAAAAAAGAAAGAAAGAAAGAAAGAAAGAAAAACAAAAAGAAATAACATCAGGAATCAACAAATAGGATCACATCAAATTGGAAAGCTTCTGGGCCGGGGATTTAGATCAGTGGTTCTGCCGCCTGCCTTGCAAGTGTAAGGACCCAAGTTCAATCCACAGTACCAAAAAAAAAAAAAAAAAAAATTGGAAAGCTTCTGCACAGCAAAGGAAACAAACAATAGAGTGAAAAGACAACCTATACAATGAGAAGGAAATTTTGCCAAGTATTCCTCAAACAAGGACAAATATCTATAATACATAAAGAACTCAAAAATAATAGACCTCCAAAACAAAAGACCTAATCAAAACATATGCAAGTGAAATGAATAGACAGTTCTCAGAAAAAGTACAAATGACCAATAAATATATCAAAAAATGAACAACATCTCTGTCAATTAGAGAAATACAAATTAAAACAAAACAGATTCTTACCCCTTACTACTATCACCAAATCAAATAATAATAAATGTTGGCAATACCATGGAGGCAAAGGATGTTTCTATATTGTTGGTGAAATGTAAATTAGTACAGCCATGGAAATCAGTGTGGAGAGTCATCAAAAAACTAAACTAGAAATTCTATTTGAGCCAGGCAAGGTGGTGCACGCCTGTAATCCCAGAATTTGGGAGGCTGAGGCAGGAAGATTGCCAGGAGTTGGAGGCCAGCCTGGTCTATATAGTGCCAACCTGAACTATACAGCACACTGCTTTATTGGTCAATATTTGCTGAGTTTCTAATGTGTCCATCAAAGACACATCAGAATGACCTACAATACAATCCACACTCTTTAATCCTAGGAGCTGCTGGCCGGGCATGGTGGCACACGCCTGTAATCCCAGAACTCGGGAGGCTGAGGCAGGAGGATCACTGAGTTTGAGACCAGCCTGGGCTACATAGTGAGTTCCAGGTCAGTCTCAACTACCTAGTGAGACCCTGTCTCCAAAAAAAACGAAGAAAAAAGAAAAGAAAAAAGAAAAAATATCCTGAGTTGCTAGACACCTGGCCAACTATATCTAGAAATTTTGTAATACCCAATCTTTTCTTATTATCCTCCGATAATTGAGAGATTTGAAGGAGAGTTTTGAAAACTCTTCACCTTATTTTTGCTTGAAATTTGTTATTATCAAGTACACTTAGAGAAAAGTGTTATACTGCTCCTTAGGAAAAACAACAAAGCATAACAACACACCTATAATACAATATATTTGAAGAATCAAGACTATTTTGAATTATTGCATTTCTTTTAGTTTAAGTTCCTAAGGAAACCATTCAAATATGGTTTTTTAGGGGAAGGTCCAAAAAGTGAAGTATAAATGAGTGAAAATCTCATCTCCTGGAATAGACAATAGACACTGTCCAAAATAGATAAATTAAAAAATACAAATACTTTATTTAGAAACGTAGAACAAAATACTAAAAACAATTTTGCTTTAAAAAAAAATTATGGGGCTGGGAATTTAGCTGAATGATTTTGCTGCCTGCCTCGCAAGCGCAAGGTCCCAAGTTCAATCCCCAGTACCAAAAAAAAAAAAATTCTCTGGGATAGACGTGAGAGTAAAGATGACAAAGGGAACAGAAATTACTTTTGTCTTAAAAATTTAAACCTATTTACATACAATACTTTGATAGTCGAACTTATTGTAAAATACCTATGATCTTAGAACATCAAAACATTTCCAATCATTCTTTTTCCCTTAGGATTTCATTTTATCATATTACAATCTCGGTTCCTAAGTAAACCGGAAATTGATATGAGGATGATGGCTGTTGATTATTGAGTATTTTAAAAAGCACAGATTCATGGACTTTTTCATTTAATTTTTCAATATAAATATAAATAATGCTGACAATTAAATTATATTATAAATATTTTCATACTAACCTGACTGACTGTATCTGCTTTCCAACATCACAAGATCTTTTACATTATCTGTGAGATAATTTTCAACTGAAAATTCTTCTGTTTCTTCCTCTTCACCTACATTATTTTGATTCAGTATCTGTTTGGAAATTGGCAATTCTGTTTCCTCTGGAATATTCTCGAAGCTCCAAGGGTTATCAAAATTATACAAGAACTTTTTCAAATACGGCATGGTATCAGAAGCATCTGTTTTCTCAAAGACTTTTTCCTTTCCTGTTTGATGTTCTGTTTCTGTAATTTTTATCATTTTTGTTGCCTCTTCCTCCTCAGGTTCAAGTCCACTGGCATGAGGGTGTTCATGTTTATTTACCCCACTGTCTTCATTTTTTCCATCATCTGAAATAATTTTGTCTTCATTGACATATGCAAAGCTTAGCATACCAAAACCAAAATCAAACCAACTTGGCTTGAGAATTGAGCTATCGTTAGTAACTGTGTCTTCTTTTTCTGTTAAGATGTCGGTACATGGAACTGTGGCCTCTTCGTCAGACGATATGGAATTGGGACTATCTTGTAGCAGTAGATTGCTTTCTTCCGATAATAATTCAAGTCCTGTATCCTCCTCACCAAAACCTAAATAGCTTATAAATCCACTGCCAAACCAGCCAGTGGCTTCCGGTTTGAGAATGTGCTCTGAGTCCAGAGCTTGTTCAGGCTGTTTCTCTGGCACTGATTCAAATTCTGACTCAGGTTCGAACTTAGGTTCTGTTTGGGGCTCACCAGTGTTTAATTCCTCTAGGTCAGACTCATCTTCCACTGCTATTTTTCTACTTTGAAATAAGCTTTCTTGTACAGGTTCAGTAACTGATTCGATAGCCTTCTCTTGAGCTTCTTCGGTCCCTAGTCCGAATCGTCCTTGTACTTCTGGCACAGGTAAGGGTGGCAAAACATAACTCACTTCAGGGATGCGATCCTCTTCCACATTGTCAGTTTCTGCCTCTTCCCAGCCATTTGATTCACTGGCACTTCTGATACCTGCAGGAGCCTCTGATGCTGGAAACTGGTCTTCAAACCAACTACTTGGAGGAGTTGCATAGAATTCAGGATCTATCTGGAAGTCAGTCTCATATATACTATATGATAGGTCTTCGTCCTCTTCATATGGATATACATTTTCCCTGTTGTCATTGTTTAGCCCGCTATCTTCATTTTCAAACATGTAGCTTACTCCAAGAAGACAAAGAAAATCAGATTCCTAAAAAATAAAATAAAATAAAATTCATGGTGTACTACAATCAGTGCACTAAATAAAGCTCCTTGTTTCTCCCTGAACCATTTAAAGGGAAAGACTACGATCTTCCCAAGAACACAATGAGTTTGAAGGCAGAACAAAAACTAAAGTCAGATCTCCTACTTGCAAACATTTGTATAACAACTTACTTCCAGGGCCTAATGATATCAACACAATGGAAATCCTTTTATATTATGGTTTATTTGTTATTAAAAAGTTGACAAGCAGAGGGAATCAGTGATTTGAGTATATTCTGCAGACAAGCTCTGATGAAGGGGCATACATATTCACAAAATCTTGTGCTTCCTGAGAGGCCGTGGACAGACATCTGTGCATCCATTTGGGGAAAGTGCTATGGTTTGAAAGTATTCCCCAAAACGCTACATCAGTGACTTGATCCTCAGGGCAACAGCGGTATGAGATGGGACCTCAGGAGAAATGAGGAGGCCATGAGCTCAGTGAAAGGGTCAGTGAGGGTATCCTGGGAGTGAGTACATTATGCAAAAGTTGCTTCCTTGTCAAAAGGTAATATCAGCCCCTCTAGCTATCTCACCCTCTCTGGCCCTCCCACCTTCCACCCCGGGACCATGCAACAAGACAGCTCTTATCAGATGCCAACATCTTCATGTGGAACATCCTAGAGTTTGGAACTGTAGGAAATAAACGTCTCTGTTATTTACGGTTCCCAGGGTCTGGTGTTCTGTTAAAGCAACACAAAACAGTCAGAGACAGTGGTCTAGTCAGTTTCACCACCTATGGGCACAGAGTGGATAGACCAGAGACGCTAGAGCATGAAAGCTTGGTTTAAAGTTGCACTAAAATATTTAGACTTTTCTTTTTCAGCTACTGCATATAGCCAGTGGAAGCAGGGATCTATTTTGCTCATTTCACAGAGCAACAAAATCCTAAAAAGAAAAAATTTAAAAGAAATCACTTTTAAAAATCTGAAATTTAGAAATAGCAATGAATCTTCTTCCATGGCTATTACCATTATAAAATGAAAATAAAGGTTGCAATTTTAAAGAATCAGCTTCAGAATTACAATTTTTTAATGTATTTTATGTATGAAAATATATTTATAATATATCTTATACATTATAACATATTTTGTGCTATATTTTTGGCAATACAGTATAGTGAGCAATGAAGCAAAGACACTAAGCCAGCTGTGGTGGTGCACACCTTTAATCCCAGGACTCAGGAGGCTGAGGCAGGAGGATCACTACAAGTTTGAGTGCAGCCTGGGCTATGTAGCGAATTCAAGGCCAGCCTGAACTACATAGCAAGACCTAGCTGGAAAAATCCAAACATACACACTTAAAGTCAAACCTTTTGAGTTTAATTACTAACCATACTATCTCCTACCTCTGTGACTTTGGATGATTTGTATGAGTTTTCTATGCCTCTTTCTTTAAATCTGTAAGATATGGATGATGGCAATCTCTACCTTATAAGTAATAAGTGAGTCAAGTGCTCAGAATGGTAACTGCTGAGTCAGGTGTGATGGTGCATGCCTATAATTCCAGCATTCAGGAAACTGAGGCAGGAGGATTGCCAGACTTTCCAGGCCAGCCTGGGCTTTATAGTCAGTTCAAGGCCAGCCTGACCTACGTAGTGAAACCCTGTCTCAAAAAAAAAAAAAAAAAGAAAAAGAAAAAAGAAACTGGTTCTAGTAAACACTAACCTAGCCTAGCTCAAAGTTACACTACCCCAGACAACATTACTTTTACCCCAGTAATTCAGGGTAGATGATCTAACCCCCTTGCCTCTATTCAGATAACTCTGAAGGACCATCCAACCTCAAAGTTCCTTGGGGAACTGATAACATTTATTTTAACTGCATTCCATTTTCAATTGCTCTGTTGCCCAATCCTGCATTTTCTTTTGCGCCTTCACAGGTCCTATTCCCAAGAATACTCCTCAGAAAATTTCTTGGCATGACAATTTATCTCAGCATCTGTTTTCCAGGAATTTGACCTAAGAATCTGGGATAAGCTGACTGTGGTGTCGCATGCTTATACTTCCAGCTCTTCAGTTACTCAGGAGGCTAAGGAAGGAGGCCAGAAAGTTCAAATCTAGCTGGGTAACACAGCGAAGCCCTTCTCGAATAGAAAAAAGAAAAATAATGAGTCTAGATAACTGTATGTTTTCTACATGCCAGACACTGTGCAGGGTATTAGCACTTACAGTAAACAATAGAGAAAAGTAATTGTAAATTGCAAATAGTGTCGGGGGGGGGGAAATACACAGGAAACCATGATTAAGAAGCAGTAATTCCATCAGAATCATCACGAATGGCTTCTCTAAGACGCTGATGTTTAAGCTGTGATTTTTTGAGAGGTGGGTTTTAGTTTTTGAGACAGATGCAGGTGACCTTGAACTCACTCTAGCCCAGGTGATCCTCCTGTCTCTGCCTCCCAAGTGCTGGAACTACAGGTGTGCGCCGTCACCCCAGCTAAATTGCGATCTGAAGGATAAGAAGGAAGCAGACAAGTGAAGAATTTGGAGAATTTGAACTAGAAAAAAACAGCCTGTTTGGTTCCCTGGGCTGGGAAAGAACGCAACTAGGAAGACCTGGCCAGGAACATAACTGATCCAAAGGTCAGTTTGGCCAGGAGCAGGGTCACTGAGGGGTCAGGGCAGAGGTAGCCAAGGTGAGGAGTCTGGGCATTACCAGGCCCAGTGAAGCACCCTGAAAGGATTTTAACCCAAGGAATGCAGGATCTGAGTTTTTCTTTTTATTTTCATAGGATCTTTTGCTGTATGAAGAATGAATTAGAAGAAGACAAAGGAAAAAACAAGAACAAGTAGAAGGTTATTATGTGATTTCAACCAGAAGATGATGGCTCCTTGGATTAAGGGTAAAAGAAATAAAGGAATAAGAAATAAATAATAAGAAATAAAGGCACTATATCCCAGATACAGTATGGAGATAGAATTGGTAGGACCAATTGTTTTAGAGTAAATGGACAGTTACTACCAGAGTATGCACTGGGAAAGAGCCAGGCAACAGTCAACTTGTTTAACTAGATAAATTCACTTCATACTTACCTTGACTTGGGGCCTGAATTAAATGGGCAATCAAGGTCATATATTAAAATGTCACTTTCTGATTTTCTTCCTTATTATCAAGCCCAACAATACTAAGCTCATTAAAAATTCCAACACCAAATTGGGCAGGGTGGTACACACCTGTAATCTCAGCACTCAGGAGGCTGAGGCAGGAGGATTGTTGTAAGTTTGAGGCCAGCCTAGGCTACCTAGAGAGTTCAAAGCCACCCAGGACTACATAGTAAGACCTTGTCTCAGAAGAAAAAGCAAAGCAAAACAAACAAAAAACTCCAACACTGGAAGAGGTGGTATGGGGCTCGGGAATGTGGCGGAAAAGAAACTTTGGGCTAGTAGGACAACAGAAGTAGTGATTACATGTACATACTCATCTTCATGCTTTACATAACTTACTTATTCCTCAGTAAATTTGAGGTGGCCATATTATACTCCTCACTCCCGTTGTCCAGACGAAGAATTTGGAAGATATAAGGCCATATCACTCTAAGTGGCTAGGTTGGGCTTTAAACTGAGTGCATCTCTAGAATTAATGTATTTAATCATTGCACTCTGTTGCCTGTTGTTAACTGTTCAGAAAATAAAATGTTTAACTGCCACCAGCTTTGTCTTGCCTGGTTCTATTTAACTATTCCTAAGTCAAACTATTCCTAATCAAGTTCTCAGACCAACTATTTTATGCAGTCACTCTATGAGAGAGTGAACAACGGACACTTCTTGAAAACTGTTTGAGCAAAGAAATTTTAAATTCATTTAAGCGCTGGGTAGGAGTTTACTCACTGTAGTTGATGTTTGGACTTCTTCAGATATGAACACCTCTTCAACCTGGACTGCATCTCTGGGAAAATATCCAAAGTCCTTTCCTGTCTATCAAAATAAAGGACAAAGATTATAAGGAAGAGTGATCAAACTAATAATAACCATTGAGCCCAATTTTGTCCTTCATCACCAACTTCCATCTAAGTCAAATCACAAAATCACTATCTGCCAATTGCTAGCTAAAAGAAAATGAGTGAAAATATATTCTTTTACTATTCAAAAAGAATAAGATTAATTCATGGGCACAATGCACCAAACTGTAAATGCCACTGCTTCAAAATTCAAAATGAAAACTATCCTACCACCACATACTAATTGCTCTCTCCTCTCTCCTGTCCCTCCTCTTTCTCTCACTCTGTGTGTGTGTGTGTGTGTGTGTGTGTGTGTGTGTGTGTGTCCCTCTGTCTCTCTTTCTCTTTATTTTTTTTTCTTTTTGCTCACTGTGTTGAAGCCAGGGCAAGCTCTCCTCCAACTGAGGTACATCCCCAGCCCACTTCTGTTCTTTAGTGACCTCCTGTGCCCAGGCAGACTGCAGATTTGTGCCAGTACACCTGGGACATCAAAAGGCAAAGCAACGGTGACAATAGCAAGGTAGACATAGCTGTAACATATTCCATGTTTGCAAAATGTCTTGCTCAGGTAAGAGGTTTAAACATTGAGGAGCCACCATGGGACTCATCAAAGCAGTAAAGGCCCACAGGTCCTCTGTGGAGGATTTGGTTCCACTCAACTTTTCTGGGGATACCTTAGTAACAGAGATTCTCTTAACCCAGCTCAAGCACACATAGGGTATCCTCCAAGAGAGAGGGCTTACGCCCATTTTTTATTCCTTATAAAGTTTAAAGAATGTATGTCTTAAACCAGGTATGGTGGTGCACTGTAATCCTAGAACTCAAGAGGCCGACGCAAGAGGACCGCCATGAGTTCAAGGCCAACCTAGACTACACTAGAGAGTTTAAGGCCAGCCTGAACTACATAGCAAGACTCTATCTAAAAATTTTTAAGCATTTCCTTTGGGCCTGTGATAAAACACCATTGTGTATTGATTATAATCCTTCCAGCTTTCCAGTTGTTAGAACTCTTTGGAAACCAATAGCCAGTGGGTTCATAGAGTGGTTCTTTAAGCAGCTCCATGGACTAAACACCTAAATTGCCAGACTAAAGGTACCTGAAATTTCACTCTATTTACACACACTTTTGTGTGGAACTATTATTTTCACACTTAATAGACAAGATTTAAAGAATGCTTTCTTTGCCTCTTATGATATCCGCCGTGTCATTTTACTTATACATGTAATGGATGCCTCTAATATATTCAAGACAGACTGGCATTTTAAAGGCACATTAAGCAGTAAGGAATCTTGGACTGGAGAGCAGTAAAATTATTTTGACCCTGACAGCCACAGGTTCAGTTATTTACAATAGAATCTGCTCCTTCCAACAGTGATATGAGGGTTATATAAAGGAGAAATCTTCCTAAAAGAGTTGAAGGCATCTTATTACAGTGGTACGTACACACCCATGTTTATAGCTGCAGTACAACTCATAATAGCTAGATATTGAAAGCAGCCTACAAGGGCTATCAAGAGATGACTGGATAAAGAAAACCTAGTATTTATACACTACGGAGTACTGTTCTGCCATAAAGAGAGGTAAATTTGAGTCATCTGTAGGAAAATGGATGTATCTTGAAACAATAACATTCAATGAAATAAATCAGACACACAAGTTTAAATATCACATGGTTTTTCTTATATGGGAAACCTAAAACGTGAATAAATTAAAGAGAAAAAAAAAAGAAACAAGAAATGAGGAGAGCAATCTTTGTAAACAGGAAAGGAGGAACCAAGAGATAAAGGGAAGGTGACGGGGGAGAAGAAATAGTAAAAAAATTAAGATGTGTTAACCGTATGTACTACTCCTCATGATAATGTAATCATTATATACAGCAAATGTGTACTGATGAAAATTTAAAAGGGAGAGATTTGATGTACATACAATATGCAGGAGATGTATGTATCAGGTTGGCCACTTAGCGTGTTCTCATTATAAAGCATAATGACACAAGCAAAGACAAACTATTTTAGCTGAAACATTAATCATAATTTTCCTATGCCATATCTTCAGAGACGATTCACACATCTACAAATTTATTAGGTCCATATGAAATAAAAAAGTTTCCCACTTGTTACACCTTGGTCTTCATCACTAATTCATTCCAGCACTCCTAATTAGTGACTAAATTGATGAGTAGCAAATGAATTTTCCCATAAGAAATAATGTAATTAGAGAGAACAAAATGACAGAATAGCAATCAGCAGCAAAATATACCCTCCCTGGGATGTGAAATCCAAACACCTCAAATATAAAAACTTGAGAAAGAAAAAAAAAAAAAAAGAAGTAGACAGGAATATTAGAAACTACAGAGAATCTGGAGACATGAAAACGATACCAACAAAAAACTCAATGACATGCTATATGCAAAGAAGACATTTAATCCAAAAATAAATTAGCGATCAAAAGAACAATATTCCATTCAATGGAAGCCCCAAAACAAGCAGGAGTAGCTATGCTATTTGGAAACAAAGTGGACCTTAAGCCAAATGTGATCAGAAGTCACAATGCTCACTACATATTGGTTAATGAACAACTCAGCAGGAAGAGATAATTATAAACATATGTACTGAACAACAGTGCACCCAACTTCATAAAAGAAACACTACTAGACATAAAAGATCAGATAAATATAAATACAATTAGAGTGGAGGACCTCCATACCCCACTGTCAAAAAAATTCAACCAAAAAATTAGAGTTGACAAAAACTTTCAAAAATGATTTTAATAGATATCTACAGAGTATTCCACATAACAACAACAAATACACATTTCTCTCAGAAGCACATGGGATTTTCTCCCCAATAGACCATGTAATAGTCAATAAAGCTTGCTCAAATAAATGTAAAAAAATCAAAACTATACCAGGCATATTATTAGATCATAATGCGATGAAGCTAGAAATCAGTGACAAAAACTAACAGAAATAGTGCAAATACATGGAAATTAAACAATATATTCTTGAATAATCAATTAATCAGAGGAAAACCAACAAAGAAATTTGAGTTCTTGGACTCCAATAATAATGTCAGTGTGGTATACTAGAACTTGTGGGATACAGTGAAAATGGTCCTAACAGGGGAAGTTATAGCTGTGAATGCCCACATCACAAAATAGAACAAGCCTGCCAGGCATGGTGGTGCATGCCTGTAATCCCAGCACTTGGGAGGCTGAGGCAGGAGGATCGCTGTGAGTTCGAGACCAGCCTGGGCTACATAGTGAGTTCCAGGGCAGTCTCAACTACATAGTGAGACCCTGTCTCAAAAAACAAAAAACAAAAAACAAAACAAAAAAAAGAAAATAGAACAAGCCCAAATAACTGGTGCACCTCAAGCACCTGGCGGGGGGGAGAACAATTTAAATTCAAAGCTAGTACAAGGAAATTATAAAGATCAAAACAGAAATTAATGAAATTGAGACCAAAATACAACACAAGGAATCAATGAATGGCAGAGCTGGTTGTTGGAAAGAATAAGCAAAATGGACAAACTCTTAGCCAATCTTACAAAAGAAGGAGGATGAAGAGGAACAAGGGGACAGGAAAAGGAGGAGGAGAAGGAAAGAAAAGGCAGGATCCAAACCAATGCAATGTGGGGCCGGGGATTTAGCTTAGTGGTTCTCGTGCCTGCTTTGCAGGTGCAGGGACCTGAGTTTGATCCCTGGTACCAAACAAACAAACAAACAAACAAACCAAAACCCAAATCAATGCAATGCAAAAGGGAAATCACAGTGGACAACACCAAAATCCAGAAAAGTATCTGCAACTACCTTGACTGTGACTGGCTTTTTTTTTTGGACTGAGGATTGAGCTCAGGGCCTTGCACTTGCAAGGCAGGCAGCAGCACCACTGAGCTAAATCCCCAGCCCTGTGACTTCTTGGAGAATCTGTACTCTGACAAACTGAAGAACCTGAAAGAAATGGACAGATTCCCAGATGCAAATAAATTATTAAAACTGACCAAGAATATAAAAAAACTAAATAATCAATGACACCCAATTAAATTAAAGCAGTAAATAAAAACCTACCAACACAAAGTCTTTGTAAATAGAGAAGGGTGGGAGGGTGAAGGGAGGGCAAGGGAAATGGGGAAAAATAAGAACCAAGACCTTCATGTAAAGGTACAAGATCCTAATGGTGAATGTAACTGTATTGCATACTTAAAATGTACTAATAAACTTAATGGAAAAAACAAAACTACCAACTAGGGCTGGTGATGTAGCTCAGTGGAACCATGTCTGCCTGGAAAGCATGAGGTCCTGAGTTTGATCCCTGGTACAAAAAAAAACAAAAGAAACAAACAAAAAAACCCTACCAACTAAAGAAAGCCAAGGTTCTAAAGGATTCACTATCAAATTTACAAGAACTTCTGGAAAAAAATCTAAAGCCAATACTCCTCAAACTCTTTAATGAAATCAAAGGAGAAGGGATACTCCCAAAGGCATTCCTGGAAGCTAGCATTACCCTGATTTCAAAACCAGACAAGAATCTAATCAAAAAAGGAGAACTACAGGCCAATCTCTTTAATAAACATAGTTGCAAAAATCCTCAACAAGATACTGGGGAAATTTAGCTCAGTGGTTTTGCCTTCTGCCTTTCAAGTGCAGGAATCTGAGTTCGATCCCCAGTACCAAAAAAAAAAAAAAAAAAAAAGATACTAACAGAATGCAACAAATCATCAAAAATATCATACATCATGACCAAGTAGGCATCATCCCAGGGATACAAGGATGGTTCAATCTATGCAAATCACATAAACAGAAGCAAGGACAAAAATCACATGATCATCTAAATAGATGCCGTGAGGCCAGGGATTTAGCTCAGTGGTTCTGCCACCTGTCTCGCAAGCTCAAGGGCCTGAGTTTGATCTCCAGTACCCCCACCAAAAAAAAGAAAACGATGCAGAAAAAGTCTTTGAATAATTCAATATTCATTCATATAAAAAGCCCTGAAAAAAATAGATATAGAAAGCACTTATCTCAATTTAACCTATTTATGACAAACCTTCCTGCTGGGAGTACTGTGCTGTAGATCACTAAAGCCAGGCCTAACTTACTTCCTCCCCCAGAGGAGATAGGGCTCCAGGAGAACAGGTGGCAAGAGAGAGTGGTGAAGCGAGGCCTGGGGGAGAAGAGGACTCTCTTCCTTCCCGCCCATTCATCAGAGAAACATCAAGCATTATCTCCTACAGATCCTAGACCTCTCCCTGCTCCAATCAGCCAGCCCCTTTTCTTCCCCCTGCACTTCCCTTACCTCTACCACTAAGGATAAACGTGTGGCCATTTGCTCGGTGGTCTTTTCCTCCCACCAGGAGTTAGAGCCCCACCTACCCACCTATACTGTATCTCATTGTTTGTCTTCTTAATCTTTCACTGCTGTTTCTCACTCCATGAACCCTTCTGCCATGCAGGCTGTGGCACCTTCTGTCAGCATATGAAATGGAGAAATGCTGAACGTTTTTCTCTAAAATCAGGAACACAAAGATGTCCACTATCACCACACCTGTTTAATATAGTCCTCAAAACATTAGCCAGAACAATCGGGCAAGAGAAAGAAATAAAATACCTTTAGGAAACAAAGAAATCATATTATCATTATGAAAAGATGACACAATCATCTACTTACAAGACCCAAAAAAACCTCAGCCAAAAGACTCCTAGAATTGATAACCAAGTTCACCAATGTAGCAGGACACAAAATCAACACACAAAACTTAATAACATTCCCGTACACCAATCATGAACTAACAGAGAGAGAAATCAGGAAAATAGTACCACTGACAAGAGCAACAAGAAAACTGAAATACTTAGGAATTAACCTAACCAAATGTGAAGGACCTCTACAATGAAAGCTATAGTACCCTGAAAAATGAGATAAAAAAGAACAGCAGAAAATAGAAAGATATCCCATTCCTGTATAGACAGAATCAACTGTCATACTTCTGAAACTGATATACAGATATGTATCCCGATGAGAATGCCAATAACATTCCTCACAGAACTAAAGAAAACAATCTTACAATTCATAGTAAAATGGAAGAGACCCAAAATAGCAAAAGTAATTGTGGGCAACAAGAGCAAATTCGCAGGAGGCATCGCAATGCCAGATATCAAGCTATACTACAAAGCTACACTGATAAAAATATCATAGTATTGGCGCAAAAACAGACATGTGGATCAATGAAATGGAATGTGAAAACAACTCCAGACACAGCCAGCTATCTAACCAAAAATATATACTGGAGGAAAGATAGCCTCTTTAATAATTGATACTGGGAAAACTGGCTGTCCATGTGCAAAAGATTGACTCTAGACTCATATATCTCATCACATACTAAACTAAAAGCAAAATGAATTGAGCTGGGCATGGTGGCACATGCCCGTAATCCTAGCACTTGGGAGGCTGAGGCAGGAGGATCGCTGTGAGTTCAAGACTAGCCTGGGCTACATAGTGACTTCCAGGTCAGTTCAGTCTCAACTACATAGTGAGACCCTGTCTCAAAAAAACAAAAAAACAAAAAAACAAAAAAAAGAGAGAGAGAGAGAAAAAGAAGAAAAAAGAATCAAAAGATACAAATATTAAAACAAAAAATCTGATGAAAGACAAAATAGGCAAAAATGATATAGGCACACTCAAGAACTTTCTAAACAGAACTCCAATTGCACGAGATATATTGCCAAGAATCAACAGATGGTATCATATCAAACTAAAAAGCTTCTGCACACCAAAAGAAACAATTGACAGAGCAAAGAGACAACTTATAGAAAGGGAACAAATTTTTACCACATATTCCTCACACAGGGGACTAATATCTAGAGTATATAAAGAACTAAAAAAAATAGAGCCCCCCAAATAAAAAGACCTAATCAAAAAACGGGCAAGTGAAATGAATAGAAACTTCTCAGAAGAAGTACAAATGATTGATAAATACATGAAAATGTTCAACATTTCTAGCCACTACAGAAATGAAAATTAAAACAAAACTGAGGGTCTATCTTACCCCGGAAAGAATGGCTATCATCAAGATATCAAATAATAAGAAAAGCTGGCAATGCTGTGGGAGAAAAGAAAGCGTCTATCTTGTTGGTGGAAATGTAAAATAGTTCAACCATTATGGAAATCAGTGTGGAGGTTCATCAAAAAACTAAAACTAGGCCGGGCGTGGTGGCACATGCCTGTAATCCCAGCACTCAGGAGGCTGAGGCAGGAGGATTGCTGTGAGTTCGAGACCAGCCTGGATAACACAGTGAGTTCCAGCCAGGTCAGTCTCAACTACATAGTGAGAGCCTGTCTCAAAAAAAACAAAAAAACAAAAACAAAAAACTAAAACTAGAAAATCCATTTGACACAGATATTCCTCGTTTAGGTATCTTTGCCAAAGAGTTAAAGACATCATATCACAGTGATCCATGTGTACCCATGTTCATAGCGGCACAACTCATAGTATCTAAATCTTGGAAATGGGCTATAAGACCATCCACAGATGAATGGAGAAAGAATATGTGATAGTTATACACAAAGGAGTTCTACTCTGTCATAAAGTAGGATAAAATTGAGTGACTTATAGGAAAATGGATGCACATTGAGACCATATTGTTAAGTAAAATAAATCAGACACACAAGCTTAAATATCACTTGGTTTCTCTTATAAGAAAAACCGAAAGTATAAATAAAGGGCACAAGAAAAGATAGATAATCGGAAAATTGGGGCTAGATCTTTTGCAAATGGGAAGGGAACCAAAGATGGAAAAGAAAGGTATTTTGAAAACGAATTAAGAAGTGTACCTGTGTGCATGTACCGACCGCCCGTGAAGAACATAATCACCATGTACTGCCAACATGTACCGATAAAAATAAAACTTAAAAAAAGAAACTGTAAATTCTCCGAACTTTCACTGTTTACTGGGGTAATATTAGTACTTTATTGTAGTGATATCTTTCTTAACTTTTTGTGACTCATGACTAGCACTTAAAATTCACAAAAGTACGAAACAGTAACGATGGATATGTGGGATTCTGTCCTGATCGAGAACTACTGCTCTGAAGCTGACAGTAATCGAGGTCTGATTTACAGTATTTTTTTTCATGAAAAATGTGTACACCAAGCTTTTCTCAGCTACTAACCTTTCTGACTGTCTCTTCAGTAACAACTCTCAGCTTTTTCTTCGTTCAGAAAGACATGTGTTTTGATTCTCATCCCACCACCACCAGGGATGGAACTCAGGACCTTGGACTTGTGAAGGAGGAGCAGCACCACTGAGCTGCATCCCTGGGCCCAGACATGCTTTATAAGATGATGAACAGCCAGGGATTTAGCTCAGTGGTTCCGGCACCTGCCTCGAAAGTGCAAGGGCCGGAGTTCGATCCCCAGTACCAAAAAAAAAAAGAACACATATAATATGATTAACTACAACATCTTATTCTCTCCAAACCTGACCATGGCAACACCAAAGGATGGCTAGGGAGTTGTTTAACCATCCCATAATCTACACCAGTACCCCTAAAGTCTCTCCTAACAAAGAACCTTAAATTCACAAACTGTGCGTGATATGTAAAAAATATTTTCGAGGCGTTCCCTTAGCCCTCCATCTCAATCAGATTTTCTTCCCAGTTTTTTTATAGAAATTTTGGGACCACCAAGTAACATGATCATTTTTGTTTGTTTAAATATATTAAGGGTTTTTAATATTTATACAGTATTTTGCATTTTTCCATTGCTGTTGAAAAATATCACTTGTTTATAACTATAGATGCTTCTGTCCCCGTGGAAATTTTACTTTTTGCGTTTATATTCTTATAACTTGTATTTTATCATTTTTTTTCACTCATCACACCCAAAAGTACAGCTGGTATGTCTGATGTCTTGCCTGAGCATGCCAGGGTCATGTCTTCTGTCACTGAAAGTGTAAAATCCTAGCATAATAAATCTGTCCATATCCCCCACAAAAATTATATTAAGGATTTTTAAATCCTTAGGGTTCTTTGAAAGATGAAAAGCAGAGCTGGGTGCAATGGCACACATCTGAAATCCCAGCACTTTGGGAGGCTGGGGCAGGAGGATTGCAAGTTCGAGCCCAGCTTGGGCAACTTAGCAAAGCCTCTCTCAAAATAATAAAAAGGGCTGAGGATATAGCTCAGTTTAAGGGTACCCAGGGATTTGATTCCCAGTACCACAGTGAGAAAGAGGAAGAAAGGGAAAGAGGGGAGGAAGGGAGGGAGGGAGGAAGAAAGAGGATGGTGTATGGTGGCGCACGCCTGTAATCCCAGTACTGGGCAGGCTGAGGCAGGAGGATCGCTGTGAGTTCAGGCCAGACTGGGCTACATAGGGAAACTATCTAAAAATAAAACCAAACAGGAAGGCACGAAGGGAGGGAGGGAGGGAGGCAGGCAAGCAGGCATCCTCTTGCAAGTTGGCCATTTACTCTGCATTCAGTTTTGAAGACTAGATACTTACACTTCCTGCCCACAAATCTTCTCTTTCTCCTGCAAGTTTAACATAAACAGATATCTCTTCTCCCTTAGTGAAGTTCAGGTAGAGGCAGTCAGGTCCTGTGTAATCTTTCACAGCTAAGACTCTGCTAATTAAAGCTATATAAACATACAAAGAAACACACATTTAAAATTAGAATATTATTTCTTCCGTGTCCATTTTGCCCTTCTCTAACCCATCCTATATATTTTCAAATGCTAATTTCTTAATATCATTTATGGTCTCAAAAACCCATATAAACTTTCCACTGCACAAAGAATCAAGCCCAGGCCTTTTGGTTTGCTATTCAAGGATGTCCATCACCTACTCCTCAGTTCCCTATTTAAAAGGATCTCCTCACTGCTGGATATGGTGATGCACTACTGTAATCCCAGCACTTGGGAGGCTGAGGCAGGAGGATTGTTGTGAGTTCAAAATCAATTTGGCCTACATAGTGAGTTCAAAGCCAGCCTGGAATACAGAGCAAAACCCACAGAATTATTGACCCTGAAGCGTGTCATTGTCATTCTCAAGTCTATAGGAAAGGAAAAGCTAATCTGTTAAACATTTGCATATTTTCATTTCATTAAATCCTCGAAACTGATCATTAAGGTAAATGATCTCATCTCAGTCTACAACACTAAGCTTTCATTAAGATTTAGAGACTGGTTGGTCACACAGCACTGGTGCAGCCAGACTTATTTATTTTTCCCCAACATCACCTTTGTTATTCTGGGCTTCTATTTCTGTGCTTTTCTCAGCCTATAAACACTTCTACCTTTCCTCATGCTTAACTTGAATCCCGTTTCCTCCCAACAAGGCATCCCAACAACTCAGCCTACTCTACCCACCTCTTCTCTGCGCTTTTGTCTTACCGCATACATTCACTATCCTGTATCATTACATTGTTCTATTTGACGTCTTGTCATCATTAAATAGAACGAATATCCCTGAAGGGTAAAAACCCTATCTAACATTTTAGTTTTTTGCTTTTAGATACACAGCACCCACCCACTACTCAGACCCAGCACACAGTAGGCCCTCAGGAACTATGAATGAACCCTGACCACATAGGCTAAAGTTAGCTCTTCAACACATCAAGGGATGTATACTCTGAAGTACTATAATGAGGCTAACATGTACAATTTTTGGGGGGGGCACGGGGGATTGAACTCACAACCTTGCACTTGCAAGGCAGGCAAGGTGCCACTGAGCTAAAACCCAGCCTGACAATTTTTAAAACTTTATGATTAAATCATAAAGTTAAAAGAGCCTTATAAATTGCTATAACTAAGAATGTTCTCTTGGCAGGGTGTGGTGGAGCACGCCTATAATCCCAGCACTCGGGAGGCTGAGGCAGGAGGATCTCTGTGAGTTCAAGACCAGCCTGGGCTACATAGTGAATTCCAGGTCAGTCTCAACTACATTGTGAGACCCTGTCTCAAAAAACAAACAAACAAACAAACAAACAAACAAAGAATGTTCTCTTTTCATGCTCTGTCAGTCCCTAAAGGATACTAAAATGTGGTTATAATATACAAAGAAAAAGAAGGATCATTCTTGCAAAACATCATCTAGCAAACTTCTTTACATACTAAATTACATACTCAAAAGTTTAAGAAAAATGTTTACACATAAAATGTTATTCATACTGCCTTGGAAGCACAAGATCCCGAGTTCGATCCCCAGTACCAAAATAAAAATAAAAATAAAATAAAATTTTATTCATAAATTATTTATGTCTATAGTAATGATATTTGCACTTTAAATTTATATTTTGCAAATTAGAAATAATACACATATTAGAGTGACAAAATTTATGTACAGCAACTCCAGTATAGAGATGCAATTATTTTATAATGCTAATAACAAAATAATTATGTTCTTAAACAATAAAATAGAAATTAATCTCTCATAATAAATCAAGGAAGTTTAACATTCAGTGGTATAAAATATATCTATATCTTAACGCTGATTTTACTATTTTTACATAATAAATGAACACAGAAATAGTAACATTTGGTAAAATTTATAGAACATATCACTTGTTTGTTTGGTGCCAGGGAATCAACTCAGGACCTTGCACTTCTGAGGCAGGCGCAGAGCCACACAGCTAAATCCCCAGCCCTTACCATGTTTTGAAATAAAACATTTCCAAAAGGTAACAATCAGAAGTCTTGATTATGAAATAGAAATTAAAAGTACAAGATAAATAAAGGACTGTCAAGTGGGCTGTTATCTTTTTGATATGTATCAATTATATTTATCCTTAAAAATAGTAGAAGGACCAATTAATTTGTGAGGTATGGATTAATACCATTATAACTTCTAATGTATGTCTCTACAAATCTGACCTTTACCCTTTGTATATTTACGTCAAATATCACCACAAGAGGCTCTGCTTCCAGAATGTCTTTTTTACATAGAGTATACTTTACAATTCAAATATTTCTCGATAATACGGATCTTTCTTCTTATTACACAGGTCCATAATAGCACTTTATGTGATTTCGGAGCTTCTATTTAAAAGGAGAAAAAGGAGAAGAAAAGCAAACTTACTTTCACATTCCAGGTCACCACATTTTTTAAGGTCTGCCAGCAGTTTTGTACCCTCCAGATACTTTGTCAGAGAAAGCACAAAAAGAAGGATTGTGTGAATGCTGATCTCCGCCATGCTAAAACAAGCAGCTAGAAATCCCAAGCGAGATTTAAATAAATTGTTTACATTGTAGACATGCCAGCCCAACAGCAGACATTCTACTCGCTTCACTAGACACAAGAGAAATGGTGTAGAGTTTTTAAATCCTTGATAACTACATTTCTCTAGCAATTTGCAGGCTTAGCTTGAGAAACGAACGCACTCTGTTCCCAATCTGCAGTGTCAGGTATACAGAGAGTGCAGACAGGCTTAATAATTAACAAAGATTTGTGGTTGGACTGTCTTATAAAGGTAGCCTGTGTAAAACTGTCTCACTCGAAGGCGTCGTGCTTTCCACAGGACAGTTCTTTTTTGTTTTTATTTTTGTGGTACTGGGAATTGAACCCAGAGCCCTTGCAATGAGCTACATCCCCAACCCTGTTTAAATATTTCCCATTTTGAGGTGGGGACTCACTAAGTCACAGGGTCGCCTCCCAGAATGCCACAATCACAGGTGTGAAGCACAGGACAGCACTCAACAGGCCCTCACAGAAAGGCGGCTGATCTCTCTTTCAGCCTTCAGATACATCGCTCGACTAGCACAAAGTATTTGCTACATGCCAATTCCAGCTTCGACAGAGAAAGTATGTACACAGTTGTATATAGAAATAGCAATAATTAATGTTAAAACTATGGTTATGAAATATGATGAAAACTATATGGAGAAATATTCCATTTTAATAAACTTTTTTTCATGTGTGTAGCACCTAGTTACTATGCCCCGTGTATTATCTTAGGTATGTAGATCTATGATCTGATATAGCATTACACTAACTCTTTGGGCCAGGTAGTCTTATCATCCCCATATTGCATTTGAAGAAACTGAGGCACACAGAGCCAGTTAGGTCACTTATCCAAAATCATGTAGTGAATGTCTCTGTGCAGTTCGGTCCTAGGCACTAGGATGCTCATACTCTAAGCACCATTTTTACCAGCAAGGGTCAAGATTTCGGCTCAGCCTGTAACAATACTATTCTAAAAACAGCAAGGAGAGTATTGCTCCATGTGCTGTTGTAAATTATATGTATTTTTCTCTAAGTCGAGGGAGAATGAGAGACTGAAAAGGCTCCCCCAATGGCAGGAGGGTGCAGTGTGATTATAAGTGGTATTCTTTGTTGTTTTCTATATTGCATAGCTTTCTTTTTCTAAAATAGGTGAGCATATACCATTTAAAATAACAATAAAGTTATGCAAATCAAGTAATTTGAATGTTTCTGTCCCTCAGAAAAGGATCAAAGTCCTATGCTGGGAATTGTGCGAAACACAGACCTACAGATTCTCAGGTCAGAACTCTAAATTTTTAGGACATCACACTACCCTCTAGTGCCTGAAACAAATAAGGCAAACACCCAGCACCTGGCAAAGCTGATGTGAAGGACCTCTGCTTTCAAAATACTAAAAGAGGAAGCACATTTGTTGGCCTGTTTTTCAAAACCAGTGACCAATAGGAAGCCTGCTCTCTCATAGCTTAGATACTATGTCTTTGAAAGAAAGGTAAGGAATAAATATGAGAAAAGGAAAAAACAGAAAGTCTTTGTAAATAGGGAGAGGTGGAGGGGCTGAAGGAAGGGCAGAGGAATGGGGAAAAAAACAAGAACCAAGACACACCATGTGAAGGTACAAATTCCCAATGATGAATGTCATCATCATGTTGCATATCTAAAATGTACCAATAAACTTAATGAATAAATTTTAATTAAAAAAATAAAGAATCTAAATAGAGCATGAATGTGAAGGTTATTTGGCTTTCTAAAGAGCACTGGATAATTGTAGACACACACACACACACACACACACACACACACGGAGTAGGTTAGTTTCTTGAATACCTTCACAAATTCATTTGCTATATTGTCAAAGACACTTAAAGAATGATCGATCGGCTCCTAGGCTTCAAATGTCGGTGCAAGGTTATTTGCACAATTTGTATTATCAAATCTAACAATAAATGAAGCATTAGTAATTAAAGCAGTTTAACCATCCTTATTTTTTTATCCAGTGTTAAAGACATTATAGCTAAATTCAGAACTAATTAATTTAATCATGTTCTAAATTAAGAGCAACATGAGACTATTAAAATTTAAATTCATTTACTGATTGGCCTAAATGAGATTTGAATAGAGAAAAATTCTTGCCTAAGATTTGAGCCTGGAGAGATTTGCTCCTGGTAGAAATGCTCCCTCACTCTCACTATTTAGTGCACTCAATGACTGTATTTTGTGTCCAGATCATTATTTAAGCATAAGTGCACAAGAGATCTGAAAAGGTGGAAGGATAATGTTGATTATCTTTCTCTAACAGAGACAAGTAAAGAGATTGGACATGGAGAAGATAAGAGCATTCAGTTTAAGGAAATCCAAGAATGCTATTTCACAATAAATAAGTCATGTTAATTTAGCCAAATAGTATCTAATCGCTAGTGTATTGCGTAGATTAAACTACCAATATTCAGATATAAAGCTAACACTGAGGAAGGTGCCATGGTAACACAACTCAGCCAAAAACATGATCAAAAGGCATATAGCACTCTACCCAAATCAGAGGGAAGACACCCGCTGCATAAAGCTAAAGAATGAGTCATTGAAGCCACTCACAGTAGTATTTTAGAAATGGAGAAGAAAGAAGGGCCAGGAAAACAAGAAAGAGGAGGAGGAAGAAGGGAACCACAGTGCTGGGTAGTGGCACACACCTGTAATCCCAGCTACTGATACAGGAGGATCACAAGTTCAAGGTCATCCTGAGCAACTCATTGAGACCCTGTCTCAAAAGAAAATCAATCAATCAATAGGCCTTGGGATGTAGCTCTGTAGTATAACGCTTGCATGATATGTGCATGTGAGGCCCTGGGTTCAATTCTCAGCCCCCTCCCCACAACATCACAGAGCAATCTTCTCTTTGAGAATAAATATGTACACTTACTCCTAGCTTACTGCCTTACTTGTTTAACCCTGTTCAGATTTAGGACCCACTGCTCAGACTTACAACCCATATTGGCATTGACGACTCAAGAATGTGGGTGGCAGTGAAGCCTTATGGTTCTTCTATAGTACAGCACTGTGGTTTTTGCTGATTGTTCTGAACAGTACCGTGATTTTATGCCCTACTATACATTATAGCACTGCACATAAGAGTTATCCAAATAAAAGCAAAGTCATCAACTGGGAGTTTCCTTTGGACATTTCTTTGCTCTGAATATTGTAACGCACATACGTACTATATATAACTCCTCATTTAATGACTTAGTCTCGGGAATGGAGCTGGGTTGTCGGTAATTATGAATGCTTGACTTCTGGTGACGCTATTTCTGTTACTGTGTCGTATTCTCTTCTCTCTTCGTAGCTCACATACTAAAGTGGAAACGTACTTGCCTCAACCATCTGCCTGGTACTCTGGCAATTTATACGATAGAAAAGTTTAATTAGAGGGTACTTGGGCTCAGCAGAGCTAATTAACCTGAGGGGGCGTGGCTTACTAGGGATGAGGTATGAGAACGTGCCCTCGGAAACAAGTCTCCATGAGTGAGCCAAGAGAGATGAGGCCCGGGAGACTCTGCATAATTATACATGCAGAAAACATCTCAGGAAATTGAGAGTCAAACGGGTGTGGAAGACATGAAAATGCACCAGGTATTTTGGTGAAGATGGAGGCTGATGCAGGAGGATCACTGAGGTTTTGAGGCCAGTCTAGGCTAAATAGTGAGTTGAAGGCCAGCCTGAAATACATAGCAAGGCCCTATGTCAAAAAAAGAGGAGAAAATACTATACATATTGTACATATTGTTACATGTGTTTTTCTTTCTTTTCTTTTCTTTTTTTTTCTCATTGAGTTTATTGGTACACTTTAGGTATACAGTACAGTTACATTCATCATTGGGATCTTGTACCTTTACATGACAGGTCTTGGGTCTCATTTTTTCCCCTTGTCCCTGCCCTCCCTTCACCCACTCCTTCCCTCCCCTTTTACAAACACTTTATTTCCATTTTTTCATTTTCTCATATTTTTCCCTTATTACCTTTCCCTTACTCTTCCCACTTTCCCTACACCTTTAGTCCCTTTCTTCCTATTTCACATTGTCAATTATATCATTAGGATCTTATGTACTATTATAGTTTTTCACACCAGAGAAACTATTCAGCATTTACACATGTGTGACTTATTTATTTCACTTAGGAGTATATCCTCAATATGTATCCGTTTTCCTATGAATGTATCTAATTTCTCCTTCTTTATGGCTGTGTAGTATTCCATTTTATAGAAAAACCACATCTTCTTTACCTTTTGTGTGTGTGTGTGTGTGTGTGTGTGTGTGTGTGTGTGGAGACAGTGCCTTGCTATGTAGTTCAGACTCGTCTTATACTCACTATGCAGCCCAGGATGGCCCAGAGCTCATGGCAATCCTCCTGCCTCAGCCTCCCAAATGCTGGGATTATAGGCATAAACCACCTTACTTGGCTTTTTTAATTTTTTTACTTAATGTTGAGAATTGAACCCAGGGCCTTAAATATGCTAGGCAAGTGACCTACACTGAGCTACACCCCAAGCCATTCTATGCTATGTGTTTTAAAATAATAATATGTAATATCTTCCACATTCAAAATGGTATGTGGTGCTCACTTGGGCAGCACATGTACAAAACGGCACATGTATGATATTTGCAGATTAGGAAAGCAATTTAGTTTGTCTTATAAATATGTAGTTAGGAAAGGAATTGATATTTGTTGAGCACCAACTTCAAGCCAGTGAGCTAAGATTCCTCCTAGAAACCTCCCACTACAGAACAGGACAGCTGGGCGCCTGTCCTGTGTCAAATGCTTCTCTGGGAACTGATAATTGAGCAAACAAAGCAGGTCAAAGTTCCTGCTCCTGTAGACCTCACATGCTAATGAGGGCAGACAGACACGAGCAGGCAAACAAATGAGCAAGATGACTTCAGGAATGCGGAGTGCTTCTGGGGCAACGGTTCACTCAGATAGGGTTGTCAGGAAGGCATCTCCGGAGAGACATTCAACGCTTAGGACGAGGAGGAGAGGACGAATCACACTGTGCAGAGGGAGGTATTAACGAAGAGGAGGAGGAAGTCAGCACTCATCATGTGAACCTTCATTACTACAGATTGTGTGTGTTACTGGAGATCAGAGTCTGGGGCATCAGCCACTGAAACGCATCCCCAGCAC